GCCACCCTGCACTGCTCCCTACTCACTGCTGGGGCTCGCTCCGCGCTGTGAGCCTGGCGATCTGGCCCGCGTCCCCACGTCCTTCAGGCCTGGCAGCCCCCGCCCCGCCCTCACAGGGAACCCGACACCCGTACCCAAATTGGGGTCGGAAAACAGTTGTGGGGCGGAATCGTAACCCCCTTCCCGCACGGAGAGACTTGTGCCAGCGCAAGGTTGGTCAGAGGTCTGAGGTGGACAGAAAGGGTCTCACGTGAGGGTGGTGCATTCACGCTAAAAATAGCCCCAAGTAGGGAAAAGGTCAATCATGTGTCAGCTGGGCTGCTTGGATAGCTCCACCCCGCTCTCTTCCCTCCCACCTCCCCCAAGGTCGTCCTAAATTTACTGTGTTGGACCTGGAGCTGAGGAGGGGAAGTGCAGGGCTAGGGGCCCCCATTGGCCGAGTGCCCTCACAACCACCTTAAGTCCACTACACTGACCAGCCCTGCTCTACAGGGGGAAACTTAGGCTCAGAGCAGGGTCTTTGCAGTCTGTGCCCAGTCCCAGCTGAGTACTTCCGCTGCTTCAGAGCAGGCCAGAGCTGCAAGGAAGTACACAAGAAGCTGTCATTGTGTGAAGAAGTTTATTGTCTAAAGGCACACAGCCCAGGGCTCCCTGCCCCACTGGCACAGGGACCCGTCATCCTCCTCAAACCGTCTCACGTGGGGGCTCAGCCCCAGTGCCAGGGCCTCCCTCCAAGGTCCTGCCCTGGAGGCTTCGAGAAACCCTAAGCGGGGCCATCAGGACTTGGGGTGGAGGCTGTTCAGCTGCCTCTTCTGCTGGAAGTAGAACTGGAATCGGGACTGGGCGTACTCCTAGGAAGGAAACACGTCCCCCCAGTGGTGAGAAGGCCCAAGCCAGACCCCAGCCTTTGGAGGGCTCTAAGCAGAGCACTTATCATTTCCTGGAGAATGTGCAGTGCTGCCCCCAGCCACCCCATCTTGTGATGTGCTTACCAAGTAACCAAATTCTATGGTGGACATGGATGCCTGGAGAATGGACCAGAGACCCCAGAAGAAATGAGAAGCCAGGGCATACCTGGGGGGGGGGGGCAACAGCACACTTAGCATTGCTGGACCCCTGCCCCGGGCTGGTCAAGACCCTGAAACTCTGACCCGACCCTGACCACCTGAGTCCCCTTGTCTCGCTCCACCGCCCAGACCTCCTCCTGCTCCTGCCCCCACTTTGGGATGCAGTCTACTCTCCGCCCATCAGTTTGATCACCCACCATGGCTCCTCCCTCACCGAGAGACCTCCACCAGCAAGTCTTCTTCCAGCTTCCTTTGTTCCTCTGGAGAAGGTGTCTCACCTTTCTTTACCTCGGCCAGATAATGACGAATAAAATGGAGCTGAAACCAACAGTCAAAGGCAGTGTTTTCAATCCACACCCTTTGGTGCTGTTCCCTCCTGCCATACCCTCCTGCAGGAGTGTAGTGCCTAATACACATGACTGCTAACTACAAGGTTGGCTGTTCAGACCCACCAGCCACTCCACGGAAGGAAGACTAGGCAATCTACTTCTATAAAGGTTTACCACCTCGAAAACCCCAGGGAAGTCACTGTGAGTCGGAATCAACTTGACGGCAGTTGAGTTTGCTTTGGTTTTGATACCATCCCTCCCCAGTCCCCGCTTCTGGCCTGCATACCTGCTGTCCCCGGGTGGGGTAATCGGCTGGCTTCGCTTTGTAGAAAGGCCACTCCTCATGTGTGTAATCATACACCCACTCACAGAAATGGTTCCCAATATCAAAACCCCTGGGGAGTGAGATGGACACTCAGTCTGCACAGGGGTGCAGATGGAACACCGACCGTGGGCACACACCTCTCACCTGTAGTTGTAACTGCTGTACTCAAAGTCCACCAGCATAAGACTGTCTGCATTTTCTGGCTCTGAGAGCAGCAAGATGTTCCCTGGGGGGACAGGGTGGGGTCCTAGGCACTCCAAAGCCCTCTGTGACTTTCCCCCTCCACCTTAGGGTTGATAGACTCAGATACCTTTTCTTACCTTCCTGGATGTCATTGTGGCAGAAAACCACTGGTGATGGGGTAGAGTCCAGCAACTTCCTGCAGGGGAACCGGGACAAGGGTCCTGACCAGCAGTGGCCAGAGGCCCAGAGCCACTCTCCTGGGCTGCGAGGTGGCAGGCGCCTCCCCCTGGTGGTCAGCCTTACCTGAGGTTGGCCATCTCCTCCCTCAGGCTATACACCTCTAGCAGGTTCATCTGGGGGAGACCTGTAGGGGGCAGGTCCTGGATCTGCTTCAGGTACCTGAAATCCAAAGAGTGGGATGGACTCACTTTGCTGCCCCCCTCACTCCTCACCGACCCACCCATTAGATCTTGGGTCACGGACTGACTCCTCCGACAAACACAAGGAAGCCCGTTGGGGGGGCCACCAGTGGCAGCCAGCAGAGGGCCAGCCAGGCATGAGGAGGACTCACCGCTCCATGGTCCCAAACAGCCAGCGAGGTTCCTTGGTGAAAGGCATCTCCATCCCGTGGAACTGGGCCATCTTGGTGGCAATGGCTGCTGACAGCACTGGCTCACGCAGCTCGTGGGTGTTCAGCGGCCGGCTCTGCACCCAGGAACCTGTCAGGGTGAGGAGGGGCAGGGGGCGCGGGGAGGGGTAGGGGGCGCGGGGAGGGGCCTGGGGAAATTCCCTACCTGGGCCCGAGGGAGGCGGAAGCAGACTTGGGGGGCAGGGGAAGGGCCTGGGGGCAGGAGGTGCCTCGGGGGGTCGGGGCTCGTACTGGGAGGTACTGCTCCAGCCGGCCCTCGGGGAACACGCCATAGAGCTGAGGCCCCAGCGCCCGCTCGGCCAGGATGGCGAACATCACGCTTTCGAGGACCAAGGAGTCCACGCCCTACAAGAAGGCAGGCAGCACGGGGGCGAGTCACGAGGGCGGCCGCGCACAGAGTGCAGGGTCCGGCTGGACTCCGGGGGCTCGCGGGCTGAAAATGCACACTCCACCTGCAGGATGGCCCCGTACAGCCGAAGCAGCACCTGCCGGGGCTCCTCGCCGACACTGGGCAGGTGGTCCGGCAGCGCGCAGCGGAAGAGCAGGTTACTGAGGCCCCCGCTGCAGACGCACGGGGACGCTCTCAGCGCGGGGACTCGGCCGCCCGTCCTGCCCGGTCCTGCCCTGGGGCCCCCCGCGCACCCCA